CCTGCTTCATCAATGAAACAGGGAGGAGTCACATCTGTTAGTGGACCAGAAGGTGTTGCAGGAAAAATCACCTCTTTCATTTCACCGTCAGTGTGTGCTCCATCAACAGTGAGGAACGGTCCAGTGGTTAAATGACTGTGTGTGTGTGTGTGAGACATCATCACCAGAATGTAACGATGCACTCACACAAGTCCATCACCCAACATCACATTCTTATCAGCGAGCTTCCTCCATCCAGACACATCCAATAACGCTGTGGGGTTTATATATATATATATATATATATATATATATATATGATATATATACTAGATATATACTGTACATATATACATGATATGTTGAGGTGCTTTGATGAAATGCATGTGACTGTATGGCACAAGACATGTATTCAGTCCTAGAAATTTGCATCAAAAATAGATTTTTTATTTTCTTTACTCATGCTCTACCATTTGTGATTTACTGGTAGATTGGGTACTAGACAACAAGTGTGGTTCAGTAGAAGTGATTCTATTTTAAATGAGGTGAAATGTGTGAAACAGCTGGTTTGACCAGCTTGACTCATTACTTTTAGACACAGGCGAAAGCAATTAACCCACAGTAAAGGGTATACTGGAGCCTATTTAAAAAATCATCAGCGCAAGGTCCACAGATGATCCTCAGCCTCTGGCTAAGTCTGGTGTTTTCACAGAAATATTTACTGCTACACACTGTCCTTCTCAAATGAACCTATAAATACATCCACCCTTCTCTGAATGCAGACTGATCCGAACTAAAGATAGAGAGGAAACCAACAGGGATCTGTTTCATGAAATATGGAACCCAAACGGAGAGCAATAAGCACCCCCCCTGGAGAAACATAAGAGGGAGATTTACAGCCTTTCTTTCTGCTTTAAGCAGCAGCTAAGTGAGAGGATGGAGGAGAGGATGGAGGAGAGGATGGAGGAGAGGATGGAGGTGCTCTCATCCCACAAAGCTGACGATCATCTCCTGAAAGCAATTTTAGTAAATGGCTGCTGCTTGCTTCTCATCCGCTCCCTGGAGCCAGTCAAGATGCCACAGTGACTCCTAATGACCACAATAAGACCACAGCTGGGGGATCAGGGGAGGACATCTACTGTACTGCTTTTCAGCTGAGACACACACAGCACTACCTAGAACCAGCACTGCTACGCCATCCTATTCTACAAGACACACAGAGCTTTCCAAGTCCAATATTTTGGGTAAACCGTTTTCAAAAAGAGAGAAACAAAAAACAAAAAAAAAATCTTCTTCAACTCCAATAACTTGGCAGTGACGAGTTTGAAGAAGACTCACTCAAGTTTAATATTATGACAGAGGTGCTACGTATCTCCATGATAAAGATGAATGAGTAACCAGATGAGGCTGCTGACTCGGTGAGGAAATGCTGCATCTTCTCTGGAGATGAAAACAAAATTTATTCCTGCTGCAGTCTAATGTTGCCTTCATTGGCCGATAATCTGCCTCTTGGAATCTGGGGATGTAGTTTTATTAGCTAAAAAGTCTCCAGATTAAAAAGAATTAAAAAAGAGAAAACTGAAGAAAATCAGTGAAGAGTGATATAGAACTTTGAGCTTATTTTTCATGTCCATGTCTCTGAGTCGTGCACAGTTCACACACAGCCAATGTCATGACCCTCATTATTACACAGAGGCCAAATGGGAGCACTTTAAGATTCACACCATTTTTTTTTCATGCTGCATTAGTGGACTGTTGGCTCAGTGTTATTCACGCTCTGAGGACGCTCACCTCTCTTACATAACAAAGCTACTGTATTTGATGCTGACATGCCCCTTAGATCAATAGGAGCCATTCACGAAGAGGCTGAATGAACAGTCCAACCACAGCTTATTGGAAAAAGCGTAACGAAAAAACATTATTGCATGATTTTACCAAGGATTTTTAAAAGAAAATAAGCAGAGTGTGAATACAGCCGCATGTCAAACCTCACAGTTAAACCTAAGAACATCCTACTTACGTCGTGGAATAGAGAGATGCCTTGGTTTTGGTTGTAGTCCATTCCCTGCTGCTTTATCAAGTGCTCATGCTTGGCAGACTGGAGACACATGGTGATCATCTCTGTGCACGCCAACATTTTTGCAAAATAGGTTTCGGCTTTTTTTTCCCCCTTCAGATTTGCCCTCTCCCTGTGGTTTTCCACTTGGCTGCTGCCCTTGTCAGGGTGGATGTGGGAAGAGGATGAGGATGTGAGGATGCTGTTATCCAGTGAGAATGAGACACACTCAGTTCCCTGCCTGCTGCCTGCACGTCAGGAGGAGACGGGAGGGGGGAAGCTCCGCCTCCACGAGATAAGCGTCATCACCAGCAGCAGCAGCAAAACCAGACGGGATTGTTGAAAAGCCCAGCAAATGCGCCATCTGCTGGAGAAGACACACTGCACAATGTAGTCTGGATATGAAGGGAGTATCACTGCATGTGTAAAAAAACAAAACAAAACATAAAAAAACCCCGAATATTTTGTCATTTCCAACAAAAATACATAAATGTAAATCTAGAATATTTATATTATTTTACTAATTGACCACTACCACTGTCCAAACAAATACATTGAATACAAAAAGTTCAATAACAAGGAAACATAATAATAATAATAATAATAATAATAATAATAATAATAATAATAATAATAATAATATCATTATTATTATTGTAGTTGTTGTTCAAAGTATATATTTGTGTGTAAAACACACATTCAAATAGTTGGGACACCAGGTCATTTTCCATTTTCCATATTCTACTTCTTTCCAGTTTAGTTAGTAGAAGTTTCCCTGTGACTGTATAGCAGCTTCTTCATAGTAAGAACACACATTTTTAGTGCCAGCTGTAATTCAATTTACCAAATTAGAAAGATAGAATAAGAGACAAGCGTAGTTCTACGGACTGACATGTCCTCACTCTGGTGTGTTACAGCTGGTTGAAGAACCACGGCTGTGATGGAAGCTTATCTTAGCCCTCCCATACACACACACCGACTCCCTCGGCGGCCTCTCTCTCTGACGCCTGGTTCCATATGACACCACAGAGGGGTGGGACTGATGCTGCTCAACTAGTTAACCAATAAGTGTTGACACTTTCTGACCATCTGTCCATTTGCTGTTCTGAAGTTCGTCCTCAGTGCAGGTCAACAGGTGAGCTCCCTGACTTTGTTGTTATTATTATTATTATTATCATTATTATTATTATTGATGTTGTTGTTGTTGTTGTTGTTATTTTTGTTTTTTTATTTGTTATTGAAATGCTTTGTGAATAAATTAATGGCAGATAAATGATCAAATGCAGTTAGATGCTATTCTCTAACTTTTTTGATTAACTGTGTCAATATATACACGTGTATAACACATTTATACGCAGTTTACTAACTACGTACTAAGACTACTTTTCTAAATGTTAAAATCTGTTTTTCACTGTATGCTGTTTATTTTATATATTTATTCTGCAAAAACATGCAAAGTAAATATATACCCAACCTCAATGCTTCTTAGTTTTTTACTCCAATATAAAAAGCAGATAAGTGATAAATATAGGGTCCACATGGACAAGCTGGCTGAATCAAGGATGAGATGTACATTTATATGTTCTACACATAGAACCTTCCAGAGTTTTGACCTAGATGTTGTGCTTATGTCACCTTGAAGATAATAGATATAAGGAAACTAGAAAAGAAATACACAGATTCTGAGAATTGCCTTATCTTCTCACCACAGCGTAGTGTCAGGGATATGATGCAACTGGACTGTGTTTGTAAACTTCACTGCACCAGATGAGCTCAGGGGGAGTGAAAGGAGCAGCACTTCAGCAGCATTTTGTGGAAAATGAAACCCTTTTTTAATTTGTTTTTTTTTGTTGTTGTTTGTTGATTTAAATCTTATAATCATTGATCTCAGTCATCCAGGCCTGTTTCTTATTACATCCTTCAACCTTAGTTCCATCATTTGCAGCAGGTGCTTTGACATCTACTGCATCTGTAACAGTCCCGTTTCTTAGATCTACAGTTCTATATAAACACAGTCAATGCCTCCCCGCTGTGTGGATTTTTTGATAGCCACGTACCATCAGCCTCATCTGATGACGTGGTAGGGCAACTCAGGAGCTCCTGCAGAGAGGAGATAAGAGGGCAGTGCCTGCCGCACCCTTTAGGAGCCACCTGCTGCTCTAGGGAGTTAAACTGGGCCACTAGAAATTTTACCTAAAATTAAAATGATTTTGTACATGAAAATGTCTACCCAAAATATACAATATAATACAGTGAAAACCAGCGCCAGATCAACAGTTTTAACTCAGAGAAAAATGCCCTTAAAATACATGTTACAGATAACATGTATATATATATATATATATATTACAACAGCTAAGGGTTAGTTCAGAAAATTACTAATTACTGTACATATAATAAAGCCCAAAAATAACAAAAGTGTAAAAAAATATGTAATCCTAGCAGAAATAACAGTGGTAAACAAACAGTTTTTTCAAGTGAAATATAATAATTCCATATGTGTCTGACCTCAGTGTAAGAACAGCTGCAGCATCATGGCTGCCTTCCTCCACCACTGCCCCTTCTTGAAGACGGCTCCCAAACCAGCTTTGAGGAGAACTGGAGCCGCCCTACTGTCCATGGCCGATCAGTGTCCCATCATCGCCCGTCAGATCACGGTGGGCAGCTCATCCTCTCTGGAGACCAAACTCGGTGTGTCACCCACCAAACTGAAGAGTCAGCGTCTGAACACAGTGGATCAGAGGATGATGTATGCTCAGACAGCCACCCAGGTGGCAGTGTTTGCATCAAAGAGCTGCCCTTTTGTCACCTCTGAACTCGGTCTGGTCCAAGCCAGTCCTGAGGTTCAGGAGGATGTTCAAAAAGGTATGAAAAAATATATGTATTTATATGGAATCCATCAGAGGTCATTTATGAGTCCCTTATCGCTGTCTTACAGGTCTGATGACTTCTCTATTTAAAGGTTTAAAAGTCTCAGGCCTCCCAACATTACCTCAATCAAAAACTGTCACCCACTTCCTTAAAGACAACATGGGTATGCTATTCTTTTCCACAGAAAAAAAAGAAGCTTAAAACCAACAAATGTTGTTAATACTAACCAAACTATCACTCCTCTAGTTGGGCCCAGCTACAATTACGACAGCTTCTTTGTTGACAAGATAGCTGAAAAAAAGAACGACCACACGTACCGAGTCTTCAAGACGGTCAACAGGAACGCTGAGGTTTTCCCTTTTGCTGAGAATTTCTCCATCACTGGAGAAGAGGGCTCCCAGGTGTCCGTCTGGTGCAGCAACGACTACCTGGGAATGAGTCGACACCCACGAGTAATTGGTGCTATAAGGTAAAAGCCAGAGAACATTAGAAGGTCAAAAAAGTCACACACTGAAAAAAGAAAATCTTGAATTCACGTTGGTAAACGCTGAACTTGTTTTTTCATTGTCAGATGATTAATTAATCATGATTAATTGGTATTAATCTTGGTTGTAATTGATGACGATTACATTTTCAATAACAAAATTTAGCATGAAAGTGTTGGTGGATTTCAGTCATTGAATCACACTGAGCATCTTGTTAATTGTGTCAGCTACTCAGTCGTCCACTTACTGCCCTGAAACTGAAGCCTCCACAAATGCATGTTGGGGGTTTAAGTCCAAGAAGCCTCAGTGAAAAGAAAACCTTTTCCCACAGCGTGTGTATAAAAAACAACAACACGAGTATCAGCCGTGTATTAGATCAACAATAAGTGGATGGAAAAATAGTATTGATTGTGTGTTTTATTCTGGTTCTTCTCAGAGAGGCTCTGGACAGACACGGTGCTGGAGCAGGTGGGACCAGGAACATCTCAGGCACTAGTAACTACCATGTGTCCCTGGAGAAGGAGCTGGCCCAGCTGCACCAGAAAGACGCAGCTCTGGTCTTCTCCTCCTGCTTTGTGGCGAACGACTCCACTCTCTTCACATTGGCTAAAATGTTGCCTGGTAAATATTGATTTTTACAGATGATGATGAACACATCTGTATTAGAATACATCCTGAGAAACAGTATCACAGGAAGGATTCTGTTTGAAGAAACTCCTTTCCCCTGATCGTTACAGGATGTGAGATCTACTCAGACGCAGGAAACCACGCATCCATGATTCAGGGCATCAGGAACAGTGGAGCCAAACGCTTCATCTTTCGCCACAATGACAGTCGACACCTGGAGGAGCTGCTGCAGCGCTCGGACCCCTTGACGCCCAAAATAGTGGCGTTTGAAACTGTGCACTCAATGGATGGTAAGACACATAGGGGAAAAAGAAAACTAAAAATTGTCTGGGCCAAATGGAAACCTATCGTGTCTTACACTATAATCAACAAGGAACCATTTGAGGCTAGTTCTTTCTAGCTGGCAAACAGGAGTAGATGGAGAAATATTACATCATTCCTCTTCATGTGTCATGGCCAATTGAACACTCTTTGTGTGGATGGTGTGGTGGATGTTAGGAAAACATCTTGGCTGTTAATAATATCATCAGCAAATTTATATCCTGACTTTTTCATGGAATTTCCTAATTTTTTGGCCATTTATTTCAAATTTTGTAGAACACTGAGTGTTCTCAATGTTTTGGCTGCTGTGGTGCATCTGATATCTGCAGTTATTCAGTTTGTGGTATCTGTAATTCATCACTGTCAAACACAGCACAACTACACCACCCACCTCACACTCTGTCCAATATCATCCAGTAAGAGCTTCATAAAACACAAAGAACCAAAGTGCTGACTGGATGACTGTGTGCAGAATAATCAAGGCTCAGAAACTACTTTTAAAATATACAACAACACAGTCTTAGTGTAGTCTATATTAGTAGTTTGTTTTTTGTTTTGTTTTTTGTACAAAATTAATTTAAACACTACAATCCCCTAAAGGGAAGATCAGTCCTTGACCATAATGCAACATTCCAGTGTATGTGTTCCTTGCTGTTCTGCTCCCCCTGCTGCACAGTTCTAATTATAGCATTTATTTCCTGGGGCTCTCAGGTGCCATATGTCCACTTGAGGAGTTGTGTGATGTGGCTCACCGTTATGGAGCGCTGACATTTGTGGATGAAGTTCACGCTGTGGGCCTGTACGGTCTCCACGGAGCTGGAGTGGGAGAGAGGGACAACGTAATGCACAAGATTGACATCGTGTCTGGGACCTTGGGTAAGTATTGTTGGAACAACTCTCACCTTTGTGATCTCTCGCTCCAACACCAGATAGACAGGGCATGGCAAACAACTTCAAACTGTCAGAGATGACTTGGCAAAAGTTTCAAAGTCACGCTGCCAACACCATCCACCCAAGAAGTGCAGGGCAAAGAGTAAGCTGCCATCAGAACGGTTTTATCAGCTGGGTGCCAGCTTCACTCCCTCAGTGTGGTCATACTGATAAAGCCATCATCTTCAGGCTGGACATGAGTGTGTCCTTCACTCAGTTAATCCTCAAAAACTGCACATATTTGCTGTTTAAACCTCAAAATATTTGATTAATAACAACTTTAATAATTCATAAAAGCCTATCCATAATATAAAAAGTCTAATGAAGCTTTTTCAGATTATCAAACAAATACTGATTTTATGAAGAGAATTATAAAAATCAAAAGTAAATGATGAAACATTCTGATTAAGGACAGTCCTTAAATGGGCTACAAGATCAGTCAAACAATTAATGAGTAATTGAAACTAAATAATTGGTATTACCAGCACTAATAAATTAAATTAAATTACATTGTTAATTATGTAATTAAAAATGGTTACAAGCTTACTCTTACAGTAAGCTAAATATATTTAACATGCACACTGTTTTTTGCATTTTGGTAATGTGAACATAATAATTTCAAAAAAATGTCCAATTAATCTGTTGTCAACTGAAGCACGTTTACAGCATTGATCTCTACAGTCAATTGACCTCCTATGACCTGTGACCCTCATTAGGAAAAGCGTTTGGCTGTGTAGGAGGCTACATCGCCAGTAGCAACCCCCTAGTGGACACAGTGCGCTCCTACGCCGCAGGGTTCATCTTCACCACTGCTCTCCCACCCATGGTCCTGGCCGGAGCTCTGGAGTCTGTGCGGGTCCTAAAGAGCCCCGAGGGTCAGGCCCTCCGCAGGGCCCATCAGAGGAACGTGAAACACATGAGGCAACTGCTCATGGACAACGGGCTGCCCGTGGTTAACTGCCCCAGCCACATCATCCCCATACGGGTAAGAAGAGTCAAACTATGTTATGAATGTTACTAAAACTTTAAATGAACAACAATGCAATAAATTGCGCCACACGGTAATCGGCACATCTCATTGGTCCATTTTAAAAGGTGGGCAATGCTGAACTGAACACCAGGGTGTGTGACATCATGATGGAGAGACACAACATCTACGTGCAGGCCATCAACTACCCCACTGTTCCTCGTGGTGAGGAGCTGCTGCGTCTGGCTCCTTCTCCTCATCACAATCCTGCCATGATGGAGTACTTTGTGGGTGAGTGTAAATACAACCACAAACAACTTCATCCGCTGACATCCATTTGTACTTCAATACTCTAACACAGCATAAATAACATGGAGTCTGGCCTGAAGTTAAAGCCTCCACAACCACATGGTATTATTTTCCACAGTGTGTGCAAATAACAACGTGTATTAGAGCAATGACGAGTGGATGGATGTTGTTATTAATTTTTACAGTACCGTTGGTGTTTAGTAGCCTAATCAGGTTTATTGTTTTTATTTTTCCAAAGACGCGCTGGTCAAGGTTTGGCGAGAAGTCGGACTCCGACTCAACAGCCCTGCCACAGCTTCCTGCACCTTCTGCGATCGCCCGCTGCATTTTGACCTTATGAGTGAATGGGAGAAATCCTACTTTGGAAACATGGAACCACAATACATTACTGTGTCCGCGTAACACAGTACATATCATTTCATCTACACAGACAAAACAAATAAAGAATATGTGTGGATTTGGTGCAACAGATGATGAATGTTATTTTAAGAAACGCATCCATGTGTTTTCCCCTGTACTTGTGTTGACAAAACCATGCTGATATTATTGAATAAACTTTCTGGCAACTCTACTTTAAAAACAAACCTGCACATCAAGCACTTTCTTTAACCATCTAATTGGGTGAGTGTGATTGTGTTTGAATTAAATCTTATTAAACTTTATATTTATTGTTGCATGATATCATTTTTTTAAGTTGTAGTGTCTGTGAAATAGCATCATGTAGCATGGGAAATATATTAAATGTTTAATTTATTGTGGGTGTATGTAGGTATTTGGGAGAACATGAAGTAGCCTTGAGATATTATTTGAAGAGATAAAATACTAATGTAGACTATAAAAACATGGTCAACAAACTGCTGGTCTGGTAATGTACCGTAAATAAAAAAAAGTGCTCATTCTGAAGTATTTTATACCAAAAAAAAAGAAATCATTGAATGTATTCAAAAAATTATTTTACTTGATGTTCACTATTTGGTCACCATTTTATTATTTTTTTAATTATTAATATTATTGTTGTTGTTGTTGTTATTATTTTCCCTGATGTACAGGTCCTACCATGTCTAGATGTTTAGATTTAAGATTGACTAGTTGACGTTGCAGGAACTGGCCATTTCCCGTTTGACCTTTGCCCTCAGTCTGCGAAG